GTGTGGTGTGAGTGTGGAGTGTGTGTGGTGTGTGTGTGGTGTGAGTGTGGAGTGTGTGTGGTGTGTGTGTGGTGTGAGTGTGGTGTGTGTGGTGTGAGTGTGGTGTGAGTGTGGTGTGTGTGGTGTGAGTGTGGTGTGAGTGTGGTGTGTGTGGTGTGTGCATGTTGTACAGAGGGAAGGAAGGAAGAGGAATGAGAAAGCAGTGGGTTAGAAAACAGGATCTGATGAGTTCAGTGGGGCTCTGTGTGTGAAGCAGTATTTTGTTTTATTTTTTCTTTCTGGCTTTGCCATGAGTCTCTTCCCCACTTGGTCACATGACCGGAACTAGGAGCATGTTTTCACTCAGGCACACCCAGGAGCCCTACAGCACAGAGGACGCGCGGGGGAACAGAGCAGGCCAGGTGTGCTAAAGGTCACACTTTCTGGTGTCACCTCACCCACCGAGTTTCAGCCTCCCTCCCTGCTCTGTGGAAAGCCCAGCGGAGGAGGTGGGATTACTAAACCACAAAACTAACGCCGAGACTCTAAGCAGAGCTTTCTGATTGACAGGAGAAAAAAGACGCTATCCTCAGAGATGCCCATCCCGCTGCCCCCCTCTCACTCAGACCCGAAGACAACCCGTAAAATTTCATCTGAATTTAAAAACCAAAACACAGGAAGGGTGGACTCTAAACTGCAAGATCATGACATCCCCTAATTGAATTCCTAGTACTTAGAGTGTTCAAGTATATGCCCGGTACTCATTCAATAACTGATAACCAAATAAACTTCTGAGAAATATTTTAATCCTGAAAGAACTTGGGTAGAATTTGAAGCAGATAGACTTTGCTTTAGCTTTGTGAAAAACCCTGTTTTAGCGTTTTCCCTTCTGACAGTTCTCTGCTTAGCATCCTTGTCTCATTTCTTTGTGGGCTATCTAGCTTTGTGTTTTATTTTATCTTGCGTTTGTTGTGAGCTTTTTGTTTAATCACACCCGAGAACTCTTCTTATTCAGAATGTATGGAAATCCTCCTGACTATTGCTACTTAAAGTAGCTTTGTGGCTACTTCTTAAACACTGTTCGATAAATCTCTAGATTCTGGTGGGTGTCTTTATGTTTTATTTTACAGTGTTTGCATATAGTAGGGTCATTTTAAAGTACATCTAGGCAGAAATGGTCAAGGGTGGAATTATGAATTATTTGCATACGACAAAAGCATTACAAATCAAAATATACAATAGTATCGGCTACGATGTGAATTTATGCATTTATGAAAAAGAAAAAAATTAAAAAGGAAACATATGACTGAAGGTAGAAAAATTACACAAGAGTAAGCTTGATATATATCACCAAGAGTCTGCACAATTAAAGACATATAAACTCCATAGTTCAGAAATTCTACCACTAGGTATGTAGTGTAGAGAATGTCTCACCATGTACCAAGGGGTACGTGCAAGATGTTTAGGGCAATGATATTTGAAGTAGAAAAGGAACGTGGTAAATACACCAGGTGTCTACCAACTATAAAATGAAAATCTTTGATACGGTCTTATATAGGAATACAGTGTGGCAATACAAATGAAATGGATATTGCAACCAAGGTTGGCGATGATGACGACTGCGAAACATCGCTGAAGTGTAAAGACAATGTGATCTCACCTATGTGAGGTTCAATAGGCCACAAGCCCACTCTCTACGCTTTAGGAATGCCAACATACAAGGAAAAACTGTAACGAAATGGAAGAGACTGCTAAATACTCATCATTCTCTGGGTGGGGAGAGAGCAGATTAGAGGGAGTTAAGGGGGAAATATAGGAGCTTTCAGGAAATAGAATATCAGCAAAGCTCTAGAGAGCCATCCATGGTGTTCTGTATCCCAAAGAGTGGACAGATGCCAAACTGCGTGGTATCATTTGACCATTCAGACTGAACCAATAAGCTTTGTACATTCAGATTCGTGCCTTTTTCTAAATGGTCCAGAAACAATCATAATGTAATCAGAGCAGGG